GCCTCCCCAGGACTGCCCTTGCATAAAGCGGCCCTCTTCCTCACCTGCTAGCAGGTGCCACACCACCACCACGGAGTTGCACAGACAAGCGTGATGGCAAATGCTGACATAGAGACGCCGGAGCTCAGTTTGCAAAAGTTTATGGAAGACTATTTTCATGGGAGCACTGGAGTCTTTTATGGTGGGATTAATCTCTCCTGACTTTCCGTTGTCAAAAGCTGATCTTGCCGTCTAGCCTTCTTACGCAGCCGTATCTGGAGTCCATTCCATCTCGTACCTGAAGTAAGTATCTAAAACAGGTCGGACAGCTCACACCTTTGGAAATGCTGTTTTTTCCTCGACTCTAAAGAGAAGCTGATTGAGCGGCTCATCTGGCAGCGCCTGCACTGAACCCGTGCAGTGCTGCCTCGTGAGTGCATCCTGCCAGTTGTGTGCGACAATCACAAGAAGTGTCATGCCCCTTCTAGATAAACTTCTTTGTATTCAACTTTAAAATACGTCTATCGAAGTGCTGGTGGGATTTTCCTGGGTGTCTCATTTTGAGAACTGTGCCTCCTCTCCTGATGGACAACGGGCTTGCAGTTGCCTTTCCAACAGACTTCAGTTCTTCCACCTGGTTGCAGGCTGACAGCAATGATAAATAGGGCACCCGCTGCTAATGTTCATATATGTTTTTCCTCAAACATTGCAATACCATCATAGTTAAAAGCAGTCCAAATGCAGGTTGTAATATATGTAAATTTGAAGTTATCAGATGAAGCAAATTCTGATTTATTCTAGTGATATAGTGGTGAATGAATCTAAGCATTTTAAAAATTAAAAAAAATAATTAAGACATGAAGAACTAGGCAAAGATAACTCTTCTGCACCTAAATAGAAGTATGAGAATGGATCAGTTTATCTGAAGAATAGGTTTGATTGCATTTCCTGTATTCTGAATTCTTTTAAGAGAAAGAAAGTTTCAATATGTAAATTCTTCCCTTGTGTTAAAACCAAATTAATTAAACAAGAAGTTAGCATTTACAGACTAATGCAGGAACATTGCAATTAAAACCATTATAGAAAATAATCTTTCTCTGTGTTGCATATATTCTTGCTAAATGGTAGAAATGATCTGTGTTTTGATTTGCTCACTGAGTATCTGGTGACAGCATAGAGCCCTGCTGGCAAATTATAAAAAATGAAACTTTAAAAGAGACCCATAATAAATCAATAAATATATAATCATCACAGTAAAATTTGTAAAATTCTATCAAGCAAAATCCAACAGCAACTGTGAATATGGCAGATAAAATGATTGTCTGCAGTTAACTACCAAGCTTCAGGGGAAAGTGAGAACTTTCATACTTACGGACTTGGCAAGTTTATTATTTCTTTGAGCTTTCACAACTAAATAATACATTTCCATGTATGTCACTGAGTTAATTTAATCTTTAGCAAATCTCTTGCTGTATTTTTATACAGAAAAAGCTGATCAAGGCTTTTCATACAAACTTTGGCAAAGTATTTCAGGAGTTTACCTTTGGCTGGAAAGAAAGGGGATGGTGGGACAATGATTTTTCCTTCAAGGGTTCCTGAAGTTATTGGAGTCATAAACTCTCTTTTCTGTATTTAGAAATCACTAGAATAGTCCTTTAGTTAGATGTGAATCTGATTTTGTAATTCAGGTTTCTGCAAAAGCAAACACCGTGTTGTTACATGCAACCACATGACCAAAAAACGTTTCTTGAGACTCTGTTGATAACGTGTGGAATAGCTTCTGGATCAGAATCTTTCCTTGTGCTGGAGAGTTTTGCTCTAGAGAATCCATGGATCAGGTGTGTTTGCTGTCTGTACGTGCCCCATGTAGACGTGAGAGCTGATCTTCTTGTGGTTGGTTAGGACATGAGAGCTGGGCTAGCTGTGGGTAATACACTCGCTCTTTTTGTTTCACCAGTCTGTAGTCAGCTTGGAGGGGTAGCTGTGTCATCCCACATCTCCTGTTGGCACCTGCAGGAAATCCCTGTGGTTGTGTTAAATAATCCTGATTTATAATAGGCAGGGGGTCTGGCGGGGGGCTGTGGTTTCCTGAGGGCATCTGCTTCTCTTTAGGTCTCAACGAGGGAAGCCGCCTTGCACCTCTGCATTGGGGTTGTGACACAGAGGGCCCATACCAAAAAGTGGCAGATGTCAATATGCAATTCATACCCTTTGAGGAGCCAAGTCATCCCTTAGTATCTCTGCTGACCCTCATCAAAGGCACCGGGAAGTGCAAGTTAAGCTGTAGGTAAGACGCTAGGAAAAACTGAGCCCGCTCTTTCAGGGCTCTTGTACGTGAGCCGAGTCACTCCATGGCTGTTGAGTGGATGGTAGGGAGTACTCTTTGGAGAGATGCTTAAAGCAGCTTTTGTGTTTATACTTTAGGGAAAAAAAAAAAAAAAGAGTGAAGAAAACAAGTTGTTCCTCCTGGGAGAGGCTGGCACCACTAGCGTGCTGGCAGGTAGGCTGCCAAAGCAATGACAACACAAGAAACCTGCCTTCTTTTGCAAGGCTTTTGTATCAGTGATTGTGGGAAAGTTTTGCAGCACCATAAGAAGGAAATCCAAGGTTTAAAAAAATGCGGTGGAGTGCTCCACTTCTTGGAGTAGGCAGCGCTTTTGCTGTGACGTTGCGCTGGCTTCAAGCCTGAAAGCCCTAGGGCACGGGAAAGAAACAGCCTGACACTGCCGTGACACAAAAAGTAAGTTCTCTCCCTCTGCCTCTCGCTGTCTCTCCCCACCCTCCCTTCCTACTTCTTTCCATTTGTTTGTTTGTTTGTTTGTTTAATTGTTAGGTCCTAGTGCGGGACAGACCAGGCTTTTTGTACAACTCAGTGTCACTAAACTTGAGAGAGATTATATAAAGTGCAAAGGTACAATTCTGCAAATGAGGGGTTTTTTTAAAGGATAAACACTGTGGACAGTGGCATGTTTTATCGCTCCGTACAAAAACTATTTATTACCATTAATTCATTTTTTAAAATTGTCATAAATGAAATCTTGTATTATTTTTCTTGTTTAATTTAATTTTAAATACCACTGGTGTCAATGATTCACTGGTTTGCCAAAGTTCAGACTGTTATAGAGTGGTTATAGAAAATGTTATTGTTTCATTAGGCATAGGAGAAGTGTTTATACAGTTTAACATTTTCTCCAAGTTTAAGGTGGATTATTAGGCTGGCAACATAACATTAAATATTGTGAAAAGAAAACCACGTCACTGATTTAAATACTGTTTATTTAACAGAGTCAGATGTTTCACAGAGTTAATCATCAGCAGAATACAAATCAATAAAGAATGTATTTGTTTTAGAGAACTCTCTTTCAGCTCCCATCCTGGAAAGACTGGGGTAAATCCGAGTTCACCATACTTGAATTATCTATAACTTTTTTCAAGGGTTTTTTATTTTTGAGCTGTTAAAGATGGTCTAAGGAAGGTTAGTTCCCTTTAGAAGTTCCACATAATGTGGATCACTTCGAAATATACATGTCTTTGCTTTTCATAGTCACTTTTGGTGGATCCTACTGCTGTAGGACTTGGAACTAAAAGCTACAAACTTTAAGTGAGAGTGCTTATGAGGCTTTATATCTCTTTATTAGACATTAGTGCCTATTTGCAATTATTAGGAATAACTTTTGGGGGGCTGTTGGGTGGTTGAGAGCATGTGTCCTTTCTGGGCATGGGTGGGCATTTCTCAGAGAGTCCAGGTTGCTCCTGGGCATCTCGCTTGGGAGAACTGAACTCTTCAGAGGAACAGAGCAACCCTTGCGGGGTACCCTGCAACCCCCAGTGTTGAAAATCCCTCACAACACTTAAATGGCCTCTGCTTCTGGGTCAGCTGGCCTCTGGGGCCTGCAGGAGGGCAACTTTGAGAAGTTCCCAGAGGAATTAAATAGATGGAGATATCTAAGATCCCAGTGTCTTGAGGAGGAAATGTTACAGACCAATTGGTTGGCCTATGTTCCTCTATATTCCTCTAATATATATGCAATGTATATTGGAGCTAACTCATTGATTTCAGTACTACTGCACCACTTTTCCAACACAGGAACTTGGCAATAGCTCTTTTTGACTTGTTATCATTCCAAATTTGTCTGTACTAGCTGGTTTCCCCTGATCAGTTTAATCTACATCAAACAACTAAGTAGCTAAGATGACTCCTTATATCAGAGCCAATTTTTAGATAGAAAACTTCGGCAGTCTCGTTAAAACAGCTATGTTTATCATCTGTCTTTCAGGAACTTGTGGAGACTTGTGGACTTAAAGCTAGTCATTATTATTTTCTTTTAATTAGTGCCCTCTTTTTCCCTAATACATCTTTACCTACCATAATTCTTACCCTATTTTCTCCTCTATCATTATTTGTGGTCTGATTCTACAAACGTTTATCCAATAAATAACATTACTCATAGGAATGTTGACAGAATGATGGAGAGTTGTGTTCAGTATTTCTGCAAATTTGTGGATTGCACAGTTAGAGAAAATCCTTGTAAATAAAATGTAATATAATATCGGGAGCCTACTGGATCATGCCAAAGGTGCATTTAGCATGGAACACTGATCAAAAGTGGCTATCTAAGAGAGAATATAAGAATTGGTTCAAGCATAGTGAAGATGTTTCTCTGACATACTCTCCTAGCCTCCAGCTGCCTAGGGACTTCCCTTCTCTACAAAGATTTTTAAAAACTGCCAACAAGTTGCCTTTAAATTTCTCCATCTATCCTACAAGACCCTGAAGTCTTTTAGAAAGCAGATTTCACAAAGCAGGTGCACCAATTCTTAACTCATTAGAATGACACTTTGAACACTCTTTAATATCCTCCCTGAGAAAAGGTGTTAATGCGTAGACATCTCAAGTAGTGTCTTACCATGTACTATGTCTGAAAAACATTGGAACCTTTATTCTTATGCAAATAATAGCGAACCATAGTGATATTTTCCAAACAGGAAGACCTACATATCAGATCTGGAGAAGGAAAACCATGGAAAGGGCAATCACTGCTGGCCAGCCTAAAGACAAGTCACTCTTCCAGGACAGCAATGGCAGCGCAGTTCCTGCCGAAAGTGTGTGCCATAATTGTTCAAAGCTAAAGGTATGGAGAGGAGCCCTCATCACATATTTTCTCTGGAATACTGAAAATGATAATTGAAGTTCTATCAAAATTCAGCTAATTCTGTATGGTACTGTTTGGCACTACATGTGTTGGAAACAATGCTCTAGGTTGTGATTCAAAGCACATAGAAGTCAATAAATATGTCCAACAGTTAAAAAGTGAGGCCATATCTTACTAACAAATAATTTAGAGGTGTGCTATAGTCATAGTGGTAATTGCTAAAACAGCTATACCTTTTTATCCATGTTTTTTAGAACAAGAGAAGTAGGAGTAATAAGACATGGTGTAATAATAGTACCAGTAATGAACACCTTTATGCTGCAAGTTTTCCCTAAGGCAGGAAACAGCTAAAACAGTATGTGGTAGAAAGGTAGAAGATGCACACAGTCAATGTCAACTTTCTTTTTCTTTGCACTAGAAGAAGTTTTCTTGAAAACAATAGGAAGAATCTCTTCACAGAGAATTAGAAAGCAAAGCATTTGATTTTTGTTTCTTGGGTAGGTTGCTCAGGCATTCAGCTATGAAGAAAAAATGTTTCTTTGAAACTGAATTATTTTCTCTCTTCAGATATTTCTTGGAGCTCTAGCTTTTTCCTTTTTTGCAAAAGGATTTTCTGGAAGCTACATGAAGAGCATGTCTAGTCAAATTGAAAGGAGATTTGAAATCTCATCATCCATTGTTGGCATTATTGATGGCAGCTTTGAGATAGGTATGTGTACTTTCTTTGAAAATTGAAAAATACCGCTTCTTAATACATTTATCCCCTAAAAAAGCTCTTTTTGTACTCTTACTGGTTCTCTCTCCTGTTGATGCAGGTAACTTAATGGTAATGGTGTTGGTGAGCTACCTTGGACCAAGAGTTCATCGACCAAAAGTAATTGCTGTTGGATGTCTCATCATGTCATTAGGAGCATTTTTGTCAGTGATGCCTCAGTTCCTAATGGGACGGTAAATATGGAGAGTTTTCACATTGTGCACTAATTGAACTTGACCATATGAAGTGTTTTTTAATCATACACCTGAGTTAAAATCTTGACAATAGCAGTTTCAGGATAACAGGAAGTTTTTAACTAGGTGGATTTTTTAGTATTGACTTTCTGATTTCCTCTCTGAAAGCTTACCTCTTTCTACAGGTAAGTAAGAGAGAAACCTCAGGTTTCTACAGAACATACACATAATTAGGGATAAAGTGGGTTGAATTTTTCACCTGGGATGGGTATACATAGATATATATTTTTTTTAACTGTTCTTTTTTTTTATGCTTAAGTGAACCGTAATGAGATCTTGATGGAAGAGGGTTCTTTCTCTGTGGTGGCTATTCATGCTAAGCTCTTCAAAATTATGAAGATTTGTATCTATCTCTACTGAACTCAGGGAGAGTTAAATATCTAAATACCCCTTCACATCTAAGCTTTAGTGCGTAAATAGTTGTCAGAAGCAGTTCATAGCTCTCTAATCCTTACTTAATAGTGATTGAAAATAAAACCTCTCTGTCCCTCAAAAGTTAAAATTAATTTGTTCATCTTCTTTAGTTCCAATACTAATACCTGTGATAAGAAGGGTATGGAAAGAATTATATCCGGGGACCATGGTATGGAAAGTGGCCACAGTCACTACTCTGCTTGTGAAATAGCAGGGAACCTGCACTTCAGGGGACAGCACAGGCCAGAAGCAGAGCTATGGAAATCTCTGATTTAACCCAAGTTCTGAAGTTTAGCTCTTCTCCGCAACACTGAACAAAACCCAGGGGCCATGGGGACCTCACCATCGTCCATCACAATATCAAAGGTTGCCACTTGATTTTTTGCACAGTCGGAGGGAATATCTGCTCTCCATTTATCCCGATGTAGCATAAATGTACTCAAGCTGGCTTCAATTTACTTAGCAGATTTGCTGTAGTAGCTGGCTGCCTAAATACAGACAAACTGGCACGTGTGTTTTGCAGCCTGTGCTAACCTCTTTATAGACACAGATAGGTTACTACTAGATCCTTAGCTAGCTAATTTTAAATTAGCACAGAAGTCTCTATGATGCACGTCTGTCCAATAGGTAAGAAACTGGTGCCAGTATGGAAAAACATCAGCACTGTTGTATGTAGACAGATATGGATGGAGTCTGCCTCTGTCCTTCAGTCTAAAGAATGATCTCTTAAGCCCTGGAAGAAGCTTCTTTGCTCTTGAGCTTAAGCAAATATTTGGGCTAGAATGGTCAGAGTATTTTGAAAAAGGTATGAAGATGCCTATCCCTTTTTAAGTGAAACCACTGGGAATGGGTTGCCCCTCCACTTTGCTTGGACGTAAGAGGAATGAACATGTATGAACACAAGGGTCATACACACTTCCTGCAAAGCACAGTCTTTCATGTGTCAGTTGTATTTTACATAGTTGTTTTCCAGTTATAATTATGAAAGGATAACTGTTACTGTGGACAACTCCTCTACAAGTGTATCAGCTTGCTCCCCAGCATCGTCTGAAGGCCATCCGGTCACAGATGCTACAGAAACACCCAGCGCCTTGAAAAATTTTGGTAAGCAAAAGCTCTGATGCTGGGTTCCCTTCTTCTGCTTGTCCCCATTTTATACAGCCTCTTTTGCTGGAAAGCAGTAAAACCCCTCTTAGAAACCATGATATATACAAACCCACCCTATTGTGACTGTAAAAAATGTATTTTATATTATTTTTCTGTTGCAATAAAGTGTTGTCAGAATTATGTTCACAGAAATGTAAATGTTTATGGCCTGCAGGATGTGAGAAAACAACAAATTCCTATCTGTGGCTCTTTGTGTTGATGGGGAACCTTTTACGTGGAATTGGGGAAGCACCAGTTATGCCACTGGGGGTTTCATATATTGATGATTTTTCTAAAGAAGAAAACTCAGCATTTTACATAGGTAATATGCACGAGTGATTTTTATGCTAAACATTCTTTTCTTTAACATTTCTATAGCCAAGAAAATACTCGCCAAAAAAATCTCTCTGCTCTATTCTGGATAATTTTGAGTTGTACAGAGACAAAAGAGCAAAGCAAAAGAGATCTCATGCTTATTTTCAAAGGATATTTCCCAGATGCTCCTTTTGCTTTTCCCGTGCCAGTTTTCTCTGTGATGAAGAGAAGCATAATCAAATCTTCATTTCTCCAAAGTGAGAAGTCATAGCTGTTTTATCTGGCATATCATCTTCAATACCACAGCTTCAGAGGATAAAATTCTTCCTAATCACTGTTTCACAAGATAAGAGAATGATCCTTAATGTAAAGATCAGTCATGTAATCACAGAAGCTTTTACCTGACTTTTTGAATTTTACATGCAGCACGCTTCCTGAGGAAAGCTTTTTAAAGTCCCTAGTTACCAAAGGAAAAACCAAACCCTTGCCAAGGTGTTGTAACAGATCCCTTCTAATTGGGATTTTGTTGTTGTTGTTTTGATGGAAGATAGCCTGTTGCCCAAGACAGAAAGACTTACACCCAAGCTGATTAATTTATTGCCAAACTGATTTAATAGCACGGAGTGTTTGTGTGGCTGAGGGAGGTCAAAACTGCTGCCTGAAGTAAATTGGAAGTTGAACTGATCATAAAGATATTAAGACACAGTTTCAGGAAGAGCTCAGTGTGTAATGCTACAGGGTAAGGCCATTGCAAATGTCTTCATTTGGGGATGAGGAGATCTGCAGGTTGAAGAAAACGAAACTATTGTGAAGGGAGCCAACAAAACCAAAAGTTCCGCTCAGCAGTTATCCAAAATATTTGTAATCACCTCTGAGCTTCTGATTAAAGGCATTTAAAAAAGTTCAGCTGAAATTTTTTCTTGTCAGAATCTGATCTGGGAGAGATTGCGATGGGTTGGAGACTATTGGGGAAGTGAGATTAAAAATATGAAGTAAGCACAGAGAATAGTATGGATTCAACCGTAATGAAAATTTCTTTGGGTCATGGAAGTAAAATAAAGTATTTAGTTTACAGAGTATTAAAATATTTCATTTTAACATTCTGAATAACACTTCTCAGTCTCTTATTCCATTTTGATAGACTGACCCAATTTGCAAAAAAGTGAATGTTGAAATAGTCTTTTCCATAGAGCTGAAATGCCTTTTCTTGACCAATCTTAATTGTTTTCTATATCAGATTTTTTTATCAGTTGACGAAATCGATTTATGATCAGTGTTTCTGTAAAATAAAAAAAAAGTCCTATAATAAAAATAATAAAAAAGTCAGTCAAGCCCTGCTGATGAATTTTGACCACTGATCTCTTCGTTTGACCCTGAGCAAGAAGTTTCACCTTCCTGTTTCTCCTTTTTTTCCTACCCTTAGATGTTTAGTTGAGTAAGAACATAAGTTATTCTGATGCAGAGACAGCTTTTTATTAAGTGGCAATAGAATACATTATTACGTGTCAATAAAATGCATTAAAAACTTTTTGGCAGAGTTGTAGTGCAAATGATAATTGACAGCAATAAAGCCAGAGCTGCCAGAAGAAGCAGCAGAAAAGGAAAAATCAGCTTTTTTGTTAAGCTATCATACAGAATTTAGTAGAGGATGGTAGCTTTTCTGTAGAACTCATTAAGACAGGAAATGGATTTTTTTTCCCCAGGAAATTCAATAGTTTTCAGACTCAGAGTTGCAGAACCTTTTTAATTTGTATAGTTCTACCAGGCCATCAACGTGTTCCTGAGGTGCTACAATGCACTGTACACCATATACAGTCCTGTACAGCTCTTCTGCATAGGGTCACTACTCAGTATGACTGTAAGGTATAACGATCTGACCCTCTGTGTCTACATGCCGTTGGCATTTGTCAAGAGACAGGAATATCAGGATCTCAGTGGTTTGCTTTGTTTTGAGAGCGGCTTTTGGTGGTGTAACCTTTGAGGCCAACTGTTCTGACTGAGAGGTTATTTCATAAATACTCCTGCATGCTAAGCGCCTAGTTTAGTCAGGTATTTTACAGTCTTCAGATGTTTCTCTTCTGTTTAGGTGCCTATAGAAGAGATGCCAACATACATATGAGGATTTGACCTATACTAATAAGCTTTCAGTAGCCAATTTTTAAAATTAATTTCTGATTTTATTTGAAACTGAATGCTGACATGGCTAATTAATAGCCATCTGACTTACCACGTAAGAGGAATAATAGACGATTAAAGATGTTTAATGAGTACTTCACTTCCGTGGATTTCTCACCAAAGCGAAGGCTCTGAATGAATGAAATTTCATCACCGAGTTGAGCATTAGCATAGAAACTTGTATTTATTCAACCCGTGGCTTCAACAGATATATATCTGAGGCCAGTGTATGTTGTAAACTTTAATACTTGTTGCATGCTAAATTACTCATCAATAAAAGGGCTTGGCTGAGCTATGTCAATATGCAGCAGCTGATTAACTGATAAGTCTGCATGCTTTACTGTTTGTAGTTTAGTCTGTTTATTAATTACGAAGAATAAATATTAGAAAAGAAAAATATGCTAAGAAAATATCACAGTGAACTTATTTGTTTTTGTTTTATTACAATACAGACATATGATCTTAGTGAAGTTATTCTTTAATTTAAAGCGTATACAAATGTGAAATGTAATTTAAAACCCATACATAAGCAAAATCATTGCACATATACTTCTTAACTTATCCGATAGCTTATGGTATCTTAAATATACAAATATACTGCATACAATATACAAAGGCCATCTGTATGGGTGTGCTGGTTTTTATCTGTTTATTTTAGAAATTTGCCACTGAATATTTGAACTTTGGAGATGTGCTTGCATAGTTCTGAGTAGTAAGTTCTGCTTTAGACTCACTGATAAATAAACATAAGGTGCTGATTCCTGGCTTCTACAGTGTCAAAATCTTGATGCTGCAGAAGCCAGTTATTTTAGCAGCATCAGACTTTAGTCTAAAAGATCTTCTGATGAAATAAAATGAGAGAACTAAATGAAAGCAATATGCTATTGGAGCAATGAAGCAAAGATGAAAAATCATATGTTTAAATTTTTTTAGAATTTATTACAGGAGTCCTTGATCATAAGCTGAGCAGTCACTGTATTCAGAAGAGAGTTTGCAAAACCAACAGGAAAAAAAATCACTGCAGTAGAGCAACACAGTAGGATTTAGAGAGTATAGTGCCTAATGTGGGCAAGAACTGACAGGCACTTACTTGGTCAGGGGTTCCTTTTTTTCTAATAGAATTAAGCCTTCTGCAAATTCAAACAGCTCCCAGGTGGCAGTTCCGTGCTCGAGTTCAGAAATCCCAATCACTGAACAGATCAACAAAAGTGACAAGGGAATGTGAGGACCTATGATTGAATTATTTTGATGCTATTTTTATTTCATGTTGCTTGCCAGCAGTTATCACCAAAATTAAATTGCTTTGTTTTTACATACCCAGTCAGCAAAATGTGTCCAGTCCTAGCTTCCTCGGTTTCTGCTAGCTTTCACAGCTTACTCATTTGCTCCTGGGGGCAACCCACCTTCTTCTCATCCCATGTCACCTCCTTTGTAAGCAGAGACAGAGCAGAAAATGGAAGCCCCAGTGAGGCCAGTAGCAGAACTGAAAGCTCTTTTAAAGAGGTCAATACTTGATCACTAGATTTCTTGATTTTTTTTTTTTTTACAATTGCATAAATGCGTATTAACACAATGGTTAGCTGAAGTGCTGAATGAGTCAACAAAGATTCTGTCTAACGAACCTTGATCACATGCAGGGACTTATATCTCCTTGTTGCCTACTGAAAATATTCTCAGGGTCCAGTACCTAATTCCGTGTCCACGCACTTTTACTGTCCCCGTCATCCTAATGTGACTCCAAACTGCAAAGATGCGCCTTCTTACATGCATATCATCGGATCAACCACTGCTACTTAAAATTAAACTAGAGACCTGAACGCACAGTCCAGGGAAAAGTCCTGACTTCTACAATCACAGAACATCATGCAGGCTTTAAGTAGAGCTGTAGGTAGACCTATGACACCTCCAACAGGCCTGGAGTTGTATGTTCATTAATTCCCTGCCACAAGCTGAACAATGCAACTACAAAAATCTGAGGAGAGAACTAGGGAGGAGGAAGGATAAAAATAATTGCAACGTTATTCTCTTTCTTCCTATTCCTTCCAAGACGCTAATCTTGCCAGTGAAATGCATGTGGCGGTCCACGTGAGACTGCGCTCGCTCTGTCAAGCCCTGTGCAGGTGAAGAAGCCTTCTTCCACACCACAGCTGGTGTGTTGGCAGTTTATGGCTCATTTTCTTGCTGCTCAGAAGCTGCCCATGAGACACCTCCTAACAGCCTGTGCCCCTCTTCTGTCTCCTCCTTCATCTCTCCTTTCCTTGCCCTCAAAGAAGAAGGTGTGCTTGTCCACACAACGTTTTGCTCACTCTCCTTTGCTGCTTCCCTTCTCTTACAGGCCTGGTGAGATCCTCGGGCATGTTTGGGCCGACCCTGGGCTTCCTGCTTGGATCTTTCTGTGCCAGCCTCTGGGTTGACATTGGCATTGTGGATATCAGTAAGAGATTGTGGGGTGGTGCATTAACTGAGAAGATGGCTTTATATAGGAACCTGCATGCCAAGAAACACCTTCCCAGTTTACTACTCAAAAAAAGGGGGGCTCTCTAGAGAGTTTTTCCTACTCAAAAGCTGGTGTTATTTGCATTTTAATATCTGCAGCATCGTAGCGTGACTGGAGCAGGCCTTGATGCAAGACGCCTACGCCCACTGCAGAAGAATTTTGCACCTCTCCGATTGCTTGCGCATGCACTTGTTACACCCTTGCTGCGCGGCTGAGGACACATGAGCAAACGAAAGGCCATCCCCACATTGAGGGAACAGTGAACGGCCTTTGGTCATGGACACTTTCAACACTTGGCAAAATTATGCTCTCTTAAAAAGCATGCAGAAAAGATTCAGATGAAATCTCATTTCATTGTTCAAATCACTTTCAAGTCTCCAATCCCAGGGAAAATTTGAGGAACCTCAAGGAAAAACTGTTGAGATTGGGGATGGAAAAAGGAGGGGAGAGTGGGAAATTGAGAAAGGGAAGTCCTTTTGGGGTGATGAGGGACCCTCTTGCTGTCACTCATTCCCACAGAAAGTGGCGTAAGATTGTGGCAAGGAAATGCCACCATGGGTCTAAAAGGAGACATCTATTTTTTACTGCATGGGAATGATTTGATACCAGATGCATTTCGGTTCTTCATATGAAACATAAATCACCTCTGGCTGTTTTTAAATAATATCTATAAGGATACCTGTAGTAAGTTTAATTACTTTGCATGATATTTAATCTATTTTCCTGTCTCTCTGTATTTTATAGATGCCATCAGCATAAATCCTAAGGATACCCGCTGGGTTGGTGCCTGGTGGCTTGGATTGCTTATCTGTGGAGCAGTCAACTTCATTGCTTCATTGCCTTTCTGGTTTTTGCCTTACTCCTTACCAAAAGAAGGAGAGAATGAAAATCTGAAGATTATCCATTTGCCTGTTCAAGGAGATCACTGTAAAATAGAGCCCCCAGCTCAGCCACAGCTGAAGTTCTCAGAGGCAGTAAAAGGTGAAAAGATTATTGCCCAGATGTTTGCATGTGCGTTCTCTCTCATGGGTTCATTCTGAGCGGAGCAAAATGCACGTTTCTGCAGTGCAAAATGCACGTTTCTGCAGTGCAAAGGATGGACAAAAATGGTGCCTTTAGTTTGTAGTGTTATAATTACATGCTAAGCGTGTGTTTCAGTTCTCTCCTGTCAGACAGCTGGAAAAAGCTCATGCTGTTCCTTTGAGCACCAGAGAGTCTCAGTTCAACATGGTAGTTGTCATATGATGTATTCCAGCTGTAATTCTATGATTATGAAGGAAGAGGTGGGGAAAACATCCCATCCCTCATAAATGTGCAATCCACAGCTGGCAGGTTACTCTTTCACTGAGACCAACATATGGGAGGGAAGCATGGGGTTGGTACAACACTGGCTGTTGGAGGGATATCACTGGGTTCATGGCTCCTGTGTATGAGCTCAGTGGTGCTAAATTAACCTCATATAGGCAACATCAGACCCAGCTACCCATTGCTGGACTCCCCCAAGGGTTTTATTTTTATGCATGTGTGCATGTGCACTCCTTAGTGGTTACGGCAGATGTGTTGAACTCTCGCCTCTTAGGCAAGTGTGCCAACGGCCAGACTACAGGCTAGATGCAGGTTTTTGTCTTCAATTTCATGGACTTGGATACTCTAATCAAGGGTCTCAGGACAGGTTCCAGCCTTTTGCTGGGTCAGGTGCTCCCTTTCTCTGAACATTAACCTCATGTGTGGCTCTCGTGCGGTTTGTGAAGGCTCCTGCTTTAGGCACCAAACTTTTCACTTGGTACATTATAATCTCCATGGTCTTTTAGCGACTCTTTCCTATACAGGCACTGAGAAGCAGTGTTGATGAATAGTCCTGTGTCACACACAAGATAATTTAGGATTTCTGATTGCCAGTTCAGCATCCACTGTGCCATTCAGCCTTGCTGCTCCTGTAAGTCATGTGTTGGCCATGAGGAAGACTCTCACTGGAGCAAGCATATGTTTTGATAGGCAAAGAATTATAACCTGCAATACAGCCAGTAATCGAAAGGATGTCAAACAACTCTTTGTTTAGCAGGGTGTACAGCATTTACCTCTCCATTGCAGATTTCTTCCCAGCTCTGAAGAAGCTGTTTGGAAATCCAGTTTTCCTGGTGTACACCTTCCTCACTATTCTGCAGTACAATTCTCTTGTTGGGTTGATAACCTATGAGACAAAGTTCATGGAGCAGCAATTTAATGTATCGGTGGCAAGAGCCATCTTTCTAATTGGTAGGTGCCTGGCCTTCTTTTAAATTCCAGTGTCAAAAGGGAAGTTTTTCTTTGTTATTTTGCCTTCCTTTTTAGGAGGAGCTTCTGTGAAACTTTTTTGGTTAATTAATTTTTCTACCTTATTTTGAAAATGGGTGTTAATTTTAGTGTCAATTTTCCTGGCGTTCCTAATTTAGTGAGCTAGAGGATTATTAGAACTGGGCAGAATTTTTTGGCTGAAGTTTTTTTCAGAGTGAGATTGGGTTACGAATGTGTCTGTTTTCGTGAACAAAAAACACACATAAACTGCAACTAAGTAACAATTAAAAAAATTAATTTAGAAAATGTCTAATGAAATACATGATTTTTCCTTTTCAAAATAGCATCTCGGTATAAATGTCCTTCCATTTTGATTAGAAATACAAATTATATAAGCAATAGGAAAACAAAATGTAAAATGTTGAGTCATTTCATTCAGCTCAAAGCTCTTTTTCTATTTGCCAGTTCCCTCAAAAATAAGTTCTTTGTACTCTTCTACAAAAAATTAATGCTGAAATTATATTAATCTCACAATGATTAATATGGTCTCATAACCTGGCAAGAAAATCAGGGTATTTTAGGTCATTGAAGAATTGATATTCCATTACTTTAATTGGAAGGCAGCCTGCTTTGCTGCAGGTCAGGTACAAATGTGGGAAGAACTTTCTTTTTCCTGTCTTTTTTTGGATGCAGGGAAAGCTTTACAAAACCAACATGACCAAAAACCCCAACCAAACAAAAAAAGCTCACACAGAAAGGCAAACACCTCACAATAAAACCTTGTGAAAGCTCTTTATTTAGTGTGTAAGTATTAGGGATGGAGTTTGTGAAATGCTGAATGGATTAAATCTAAATGGAAATCTTTCCATGATTAACTCTCAGAGCCAAATGGAATCCAATGCAAAACCAGATGCTGCTTCCTTTCATGTTTTGTTTTGGAGATTTTTTTTTTTTTTTTTGGTAACTTTCAGAAAGTTTTATGTTTTACTTTAGATGAAGAAGCACCTATGAGCTAAGACATTAATCTCATTTACTCCAGTTTCTAACAGGCACACCTGTATAGGTTTTATTGTATCAGTATGCATAAAAAAACCAGTATAGTAAAAAGGTAGGGAGTATCAAAGAACTAAGCTTTTTAAAGTCATAACATGACGCAAGAGAAAATAAGGAAGTAAGAAAAATTACTTAAAGGTAATAAAGCGTCTTATAACCTCAAAGGATCAGTCTGAAAATGGGTCAGTATCTGATATTTTTGAAACTACTAGAACCAGATATTTATTCTAAAAAGGGTCAACGCAAGTGACAGCAGTTAAAAATTTTGTTACCTTCTATTTGCAGGTGTGATACTTTTACCCATCACAATCCTGGGGATGTTTCTAGGAGGCTTTCTGATCAAGAAATTCAAACTTCACATAACTGAAATGGCAAAGTTTGCATGCATCACCTTTATAGTAGCGTATTTGTTAAACCTCTTGTACTTTACGTGCAGTTGTGAGGTGCTCAAGGTGGCCGGTTTAACAGCATCCTACTCTGGGTTTGTATCCTCCTGGGTTTGTGTTGGTTGTGTCATTTGTCGTGGCTGCTTACTGCCTTGTGCAGAACACCATGCACGCACCTGTATTCCTCTACTTTCACAGTCTAATCTGGTTTTGTACTCTCATCTGGGCTACAAACCTTTTATTCTAGGAAACATTTTGATTTAAATTTGGATCAATTCTGAAATGTGGCTTCTCTGTTGATTTACTGGAGCATATTGCTATATCTTTTTGCATAAAAAATAATACACATCTGTCTGTTGAAAGACAACAAATTTTCATTGAAACTGGCATGTATTGGGTCATCTGCTAGTGTCAGTCAGTGTGGTTTCAGCTACAGTGGAGATACGGTGATTATATCACTGTATTGCTCCCTTGGTGGTGATACACACAAGAAAATCCTAGGTTTTGAGGTAGACTTGTTAGATTGAAATGATACCTAGTGTTGGGGATGTGCAGAATACCCTGATTTTGTTTTTCAAATTTAGTTTAAATTGGACATTTCTTTTTCTAAATTGTTTATTGCTGGCTATTGACAATATACGTCTATATTCTATAAAATCACTAAATAAGAGGAATTTTATCACCAGCAGTTGAAATTTTTATATTCTATTTCAAAGCTTTAGTTTAAAGCTGGTGTCCTCCTACCATCTAGGAAGTGGGATGTAATAAGCATGTTGAAAGTGCCTGCACTCTCATCCTGCGATGGCTTTGCCTCTGGAAGGGACCATCCTCTAGATCAGTACTTATCAGCCTGCATGGGGAGTTACCAGCCTCCCTTTCTTGAGAATATTTTGCTGACATGCTTGGAGCCTGGTCATGCTTTCTTGAGAATATTTTGCTGACTCTAGCAGACTGACACAATTGCCTACTGTTTAAATTTAGCTCAGTCTGGTCCAACCAATTTCAAAGGATTTTAAAGGATTAAACTGAATCCAGCAGGGCTTGCTAGATTTTCAATTCAGACAGAAATTCAGACTTGTGTTTCTTGAAACTGAGCCTATGTTCAGGGAAATATCTAAGTTGTCTCAGCAACCTGACACCCAGTTCAACTTTGAGGTGAGTTACATAAAAGATATCAGAGGTTTGTGCAGTAGAGATAGCTCTGGTTGAGGACTGTAGAATGAATTAAAAATAAGCAGAAACAACAACACAGTGAATACTGAAAGAGCCAATTACAGTTTCTGCAGGAGAACTGAGACTGGAGAATTTAGCGTGTGCAAGGATTGCTCTGGTTAAGCGAGTCACGTGCTGTTTTACCAGTTCCACAATTTGTAGTTTGAAGACAAGCAACAGCCTAACAAGGGCTAACCCCCCCAGTTATTTTCCCATCTAAAAGACTGAGGAGAAATGTATCCCCCTTAAGGTGTATTTTGGATTGAGGGGTAGGGAGGAATAAAAGGCAAATTCTGAACACGTTTTCCTTTATATTGTGAGGCATTTCAAGGCAGGAGTGATTTACAGATGGTGGACTCCTAACGCTTTCTGAAAATTGAGCCCTGATACCATGACCTCAGTCACTGGCCACTTTTTAAATTCTCAGTGCTAGTTGTTGTCCACTTAGATTAGCTCATTGGAGCCTGATGTTTCTTACAGAAATGTTGGTAAAGGTGGAAACTATGAAAGTCTGTGATAATACACAAGAAGAAATGAGATCTGACAAGGTCTCAATGGGGCTCAACAGTGTCCCAGGTGCAGGGCTGCTGCTGAATGCTGGTCAGAGCTGAGACAGAAGCAGCACTTCTCACTCAGACTTATGCAACTTTCATTGCCACTAACTGGCTCTGTATCCAGTGAAAAAAATGTCAAGGACATCTTTCTGCTGTAGTTTTATGTCACCACTTCTAGCACCCAGATACAGCATGATGTCTACTGCTAAGGACAAGCACGACCAGTCTACAGGTGATAAGAGATTCTAGGCATGAATTTCTTTTTCTTGGGTTGAACTTTCAAATGAAAAAGTAATACCAAATATTACCTCCCAACCAAGAATACCAAGTTTGTGAGTTCCATGCCTTTTCAGCAACAATCCATAAAAATGTTAATGCTTGATGAAAATTTCCAGAGAGCTCTGGCTCAGATGAAATTAGCTTAGTCTCTATATGACAACTTCACAGCCAATTGGATGGTAGCAGATACCTCTCCATATTTATTGCTTCACTTTCTCCATGTTTATCCTGCCTACCCCTGGCATTTTGTTTGACTATATAATTTACCTAAATAATTCTTTTATTTCTTTGTGTTTTCCTCCAGATTAAAACATCTTTCTTCCCCCAAAACCAGCTTCATGGCCAGTTGTAATGCTGACTGCGGCTGCGAGCTGGATCAGTGGGACCCTGTATGTGGGGATAATGGGATCACTTACATGACAGCCTGCTTTGCAGGATGTAAATCATCAACTGGGATGGGAAAGAATATGGTAAATATCTAGGTGGATGAATGTTTATAGATATAGCTAGATTTCTCCATCTATTAATTTTTTGGGTTTGTGATTAATAATCCTGTAGACACATATGTCCATTCTGTATGGTTTAACCTTGTAGAATCTGAGTGCAAGGTTGCAGGAAGGATTTTTAAAAGAGTTGGGGTGAGGTAAGTGAAAATCTCAGACTCTTAACTTATATTTCTTGAATGCTTTTATTTCAGTTTTTAAAAATTTATTTTAAAAATTTATTTTCTTCTCAGCAAGGTCATGATGAGTTTGGCTTTAAGTTTCTCAGTAGACCTCTTACTGCACAGGTACAACACAGCTAAGAGGGGTTTGCTTTAGAAGACCTTTACTAGTCTGGTTGTTATACTAGCAAAATCCCATGGTGTCAACTCATGTGCAACAGACCTGTATAAAATTGTGAGTGCTGGTTTCACAAACTGTTACAGATCATACTGGAATTGCCTGCTTTCCTGAGCTGCCATAGCTCAGGGAAGCAGGTCTTAGAGCCTAAATTGTACAGCCAAGAGGTCCTGTAAATATACATCTGGACATTTTGTTCAGCGTATCAGCAGCAAAGCCATTTCCAGGACTTCAAACAATCCTACCTGGGCAAGGCCATTTAAAACAGTGGGTTTGCAGAAGTGTGTGCAAATGGTCATGTCTTTTGGCAGAAGCAGAATTGTCTTCATGTAACAATGCTGAAAAAGACAAGCAATATTTTCAGGCTTATATCCATATATTCCAGCAAAATTCTCTTGCTTCACTTCAGGGGAATTGGCTTTCAAACCTATGTCTCCTGCCGACTTCAGAGGCTGTGAAACAGCCCACTCCCAATCCAGCGCCAAATGCTGTTTTAGATATATGATGATAGATAAGCATGATTGCATTATTGGGTCCACTTCTGTGTTTTTATTGTTACTCCTCTACTTCATAGGATGCCTGAGCAGAACGGCTGGATAACAGTTCACATCTGAATTTTATAGCTTTGACCCGTTTTAAGCATACACAGAGCACCTTCTGTCCTAGCAATGGCACAGCTGAAACTAGAGTCACAGTTTCTTTGTGTCTCTGGAGCAGCTCAGAGTGGCTGAAGCATACCAATGAACTTGGCCATCAGTCTGCAAAGATGATTCGGGAGGTTCTTTCTGTTATGGGGAGTGAAAAATCTAGCTACTAAAATAGTTTTGTGCCACTGAATTCTGGTTAAATAAATTCTTCTTCTCATTTTCTCCTTTCAGGTGTTTTACAATTGCAGCTGTGTGGAAGGACAAGGGCATGGACTTGGCAATTCCTCTGCAGTTTTGGGACAATGCCAAAGAGAAAGCTGTACCAAAGCATTTCCCTATTTTTTAGCATTACAGACTGCATGTGCATTTATTTTAGCCTTAGGAGGCACTCCTACATACATGATTATGTTTAGGTGAAATTCTTTACCTTACCTTGACCATAAAGCTTGGGGAAAGAGAAGCAGAATATGTGAGGAATGGCATACTGATCAAATTGGCGCTACGAGTCTTTGCCTATACTCTGAAATCCAGCTCTGTTCAAAGGCAGGGCAAAATGCCTGTCCACCAATTTAATTCCAATTTAAGGCTGAGTAGATATTTGTGATGAAATGGGTGGGCCTTATGCTGATCCTGAACATTAGTTTTCACTTCTAGTGACAGATATGTTTTTAACACAACAATGAACTTGAAATAAGGTATGGTTCGAAGCCATATCCAAGGTGACTATGCCGTTCACATTAATCAGGAGAAAAACATTCACCTTTGTTAAGCCGTGTTGCCTCAGAATGTTTTTGGTGTTCTGAGAAGTCTGATACTCCCATTTTTTTGTCAAGCTGGTATAAACAGAACTATGTCAGCAACAATATTTTTTCTATTATTTCAGTTGTAAAGCAGCACTGCTATTTTATACTTGGAAGAAAAGACAGTATTCTGTGCCTTTCACATGGAAGTTTCTTTCTGCTCATGCTCATGGGTGAATTGCAATCTTCAGTAGTCAGCGTGCGTGACTAGATAACTCTCTGCTAAGCTGCTGATTCCTCTGCAGTATTTCTAAGTGCAACCATTCTTAACACACACCTGGATTATGGACAAGGCTAAATTTGCTGTGCAAAGTTTTCAAAATACTAATGTGTATAACGGGAAGCCCTTCATGTTAATGCTGAAAAGACAGTATTCTGATGTATAAACTCCAGCTCAGGAAACAAGCTGGCCATAGGAAGTCTCCCTCCTGTCCCTGTGCCAGCTCAGTACTCCCCTCTGCTTTATGTGAATTCTTCCAGTTCATCTGATGGACACAGGCTGTTTCTCCACTGGTAGCAATGAGGTGCTTTTGTAGCCAGGTAAATCACGTTCGCTGTCTCTCTGTAAAATGCCAGAGGCAGAGGTGGGTTTTACCTGCATCTAGGTAGCAAGGACTGCACACCCTTCTTCCCTCTGTTCACCACTGCACAATACAGCCCCTTCTAAAGCAAGGCAGCTTCTCGGAGCTTACCTTATGGGCATGAACTGCCTACTTTTAGTGGGTTCACTTTAGTATTCTCATACATCCTCTCCCAAATCTGTTCTCCTTGGGTTCAAGATCAGTTTCTGTAGATTCTCCCATTTATTTCAATGAGAGTTCGTCCACTGAAGTCAGTGAAAGGAGGCCCTACAGCTGAACTTTAACTTTGGTGAATGTTTTCGATTAGGGCTTGAGTGAGCTACGCTAGGTAAGCCACAACACTCTTGCAATGGGGCACATGCAGATGTTCGCAGGATGGCTATAGCTACATTATTCTATTGTTCCCCAAAACAATGTACTATTTTTGTTTCCTTTTTAGATCTGTTTCACCAGACCTGAAATCCTTTGCTGTTGGGATTGAAACTTTAGGTGGTAGAGTACTAGGTAAAACTTCGTTTCTTTGTGGGGTTCAATTAGGTAGTCAAAGAGACAGACAAAAGCTAACCAGTGCAATGCCCTTGCTCTAAAATTTTCCAATATTCTTCTTTGTAATCAGACTAGGCATTTCAAAGTCTTTGGACAAGCTTGCTACATGTTTCCTGGTGTGTAATTATGTATTATAATTATCCCTTCAGAAATGTTTTCTATGCAGCAAAGGAATCAGGCAAAGGAAGGAGATTGCATTGTACTTTTTGTGGGTTTTTTTGATTCGCAGATATAACTACCTGAGCTTTAACAGTCTGCATATCCTTAACACCTATGCTCCCTTTTGCTGACCATTTTTGACTTAGAGCTACCACGTACTCTGCCTATTATTTTCTTTCTTGTGTTTATCTGCAATAAATAATCATTCAGGTCTTCAGACATGTAGTCTGTGCGGCCCCTAGCAAACCTTTCCTTATCTTCATTTCTTTGCTGATTTTTGAAATCTTCCCCATGTAGACAAGCCCAAGTAGTCATTTGGATCTCTCTCCTCATCTCCATATTTTAGCTGAATCAATCAATTTTAGCAGAGAATCAATCTTGTGCTTTTATGACATAGTTTTCTTCACAAAACTGCACTTTATCCCCAGAACACCTTACTGATTATATTAAAGCATTATGACTCTCAAAAAAGTATTCTTTCAGTACTACATAAATAACGCACTTATTACCTCGTTGGTTTTGAGCAAGTGCTTAATTTCAGCCCTTTGCACTCAGCTAACCATTTTAGTGGCAAACTGTTCTGTAAAACCTGAATAGATACATTGGTATAACAAATATGTCATGGCATGTAATTCCACATGGGGACTGAAAAAGAAAAGTTGGTTAAGTTATAATTTCTGTAAACAACAGAAGCTATAATTCTAATAAAAATGCCATTAAAGTAGAATTACTAACATTTCCCGTGCTGAATATAATAATGCTATAATCTTCCATCGTTTCAACTCCCTTTAGGTACTTGCTTAAATATTTTCACAAATCTTGGAATCTCAAAGCTGGAGCTGGATGTTTAGTCCCATTTTATTCAGCCATAATTCAGAAACCCAGAGATTCATTTCCTCATTTATTTACCATGACATTAAAAGCTGAGATCTTCATGTCTGAGATCATGTAATAAGAATTTTCTTTGCAGGAGGACTCCCAGCCCCTATCTATTTCGGTGCCTTGATAGATGAGACCTGCTTGAAATGGGGGACAAAAAACTGTGGAGGCTCTGGATCTTGCCGGGTATATGACACGAAAGCATTCAGGTAAGCTGAAATCTTCAGTAAGGGATTGGGTATTTGGTTTCTGAGGCAGCTTTGGGCACCAAGAACCAAGGTATACTTTGCCCATGACAATTGTCAATAGACTCATCAGGATACTAAAAGTACCAAAACTCCTTATTTTGCCTAGGCCTTAATAGATCAGATAAGCCAAATAATTTTGATTCAACCCGACAAATGACATTTCAGTACACTGCCTTACATCACCACAATTAGTTCCTTTATTGAAGCCTTAGTGCACTGAATAACTCTGCGACACTTTGGCTTTGTGGGAGACTGAACAACCATGGAGTGAGTGT